TTTCTTTTCTAGTAAATTATATGCCGATCAATTTCGTACCAATCAAAATCAATTTTTATGTGATATTTCAAAAAATAAATGTATGCTGATCATCATTAAATCACGTGATATATAACAGTATTTGGTTTTGTTATTTCTCATAACTCTCCTTCAAAATGTTTCAGGGCACCTCTGCTTGGTTTAGTTCTTCAGTAGACCAGACCTATATCGATCTTTGGAGTGAGTAACTATATATATATATATATATATTTCACTTTTTATTTATTTATTGAGGAAATGTACAAATTTTGACTTTTAATTATTGCGTTATTAGTCGGACAAGGTGGAAGCGTCGAAAGTACGTGTAATGCCGATTTACTCCCAGAATACCTATTCAGCTGTGATCCTGAACAACAAGAAACCCAACGGTATTGATTCCTTAGATCATAACCCATTACTTATACATTTAATTCCTAAAATGGTTTGAAAATTTTCTTTATAAGGATTATTAAACATATCTCGTATATGGTCATTCATCCGGATTGGATTGTCGAATCTATCTCAGAAAAGAAACGAAAACCAATCAACAAATATTTTATAAGTTGAGACTTGAAATTTGTGTTTAATTTTGATGATTTTGAAATCAAAATAGTTTCATATATCTAATTAATTTCAAATCTGAATAGCGGATGAGATAATCGATCAAAATCAGATGAATGTCGACAAAATTGCTTCCTTAGTTTATCTTGCTGATAATAGCAAATCAAACGATGAAATTAATTCAAATGATACTACAAACTTGGCAAATAATAATCAATGCAATGACAACAATTACATTGTTGCACATTCCCCAACGATTCCTAATAAGATATATCTTTTACCACGGAAGCGTGCAAGGAAAGTTTCCAAAGGAAAAAATCATGCTCAAGACAACAATTCTCAACAAGGTTTGCCAACAGATATAATGAATATCCAGAGCGATGATTCACAAGATTTGCAAACAGATAATATGCAAATCGACACTGTTTTACCTGATTCGCAACCAGACGATCAATCTGAGTGGAATATTAAAAGTACAATTAACAAATCTAAAAGAGACCGGCCACGTACACTTCCTGATTTTATGATCGAAAAACGTCCAAGGTATGTATCAGAATAAAAAATTTTTTTTTTTTAAAAAAAAAACCTATTTTTTAAACTTGTTCATTTAAAGGGTGGCTCTTACAAATACGTCGGAAGACGATTCGTTCTTTACAGACGAAGATATAAGGTAAGTAAGTTTTATATCGTGCATTTATAAATGAACCGTCATGGTTTAAACATTTCAAATGTCTTTGTTACTGGATAGAAAACGCCAAAGAGTCAATTATTCCCAAAAATCTGCTCGAGCATCATCTACAGGCAAAAAAGCACCATCAATACGTTGTGAATGGTAACCTTCATTGTCATTCTTTAGATTATTTTCATGGAACTATTGTAATATCTAATTATTTCATTTATTCATTAATAATAGTGGCAGGCCCGTCCAACCGACTATATCGGTGGAACAACTATTAGCCAGAAAGTCGAAAAAGTAGGATCGTTAGTCTGTTCTCTACATCCATTTATATTGTGAAAACCTAAATTAAATCTAAATTTTCTATACAGTCCACCACAAATTTCAAAAGAGACCAAACCTATTTCGTCAATTCGACTTCAACATATATCAGTTAGAAATTTACTTGAAAGGGTTTCTAAATACCTTTTGTTTGTAAAAGGATCAGATAGTACTTTAATGGACTATGTTTACGAATTCACACCTGGGCAGAATGGGTTCTTTGCACATTCGAAGTTAACAGCAAATTCTCGAATATCTAATGCAAATTCTCGTGGTCAAACTCGAGGAAAATCCTCCCTAAGAAAGAATTAATCTTTCAATTTTCAATTTGCAAATATAATCATCAATTTATCAAATTTTTGAATCAACGTGTACATAAATAGTTAATTTTAAGTACCACAAAATTATATACACGCACATATTGTATATCTAAATAACAAATTCTTTATTGCATTCCTTTCTCATTTTATATTAAAATTTAAAGTGAACACTATCATCATTCTTCTTGTATACGAGGAACTTCAGTCGATCCAGTTAGGTTTCTTAATGAAATATCATAAACGACTACATAAGCGTCAATAGATCAATAATTATATAAAAAAAAGTGAAAAAGATCGCATCATTTTATAGTTTTACCTTCTTCAATTTTCTTAATATGATACTGTTATATTTATTATATAAAATTAGAAATTATTCCAACTTAGAAAATAACCAAAAAAAAAAAAAGATAAACATACCTTAATGGCATCATATCTTTTTCTTAATGCATCATTTTTCAAGTTTAATAATTGAAATCCTGTGTATAATTCTTTAACAAATTTTGAAATTCTTAAAGGTCTATTGTAATCACCTGATGTAACTGAATTTACAGCTAAACGTGACTAAAGCAATAAAAAGTTATTAGCATAATTAATAACAAGTAAACTAATATAATAATAAATATTTACCAATTCGTTAGTTAAAGCAATAAAACTGTGAAGAATATCTTCAACTGATATATGAAAAGTTTGTATATCATTATTTAAGTTTACTTTGACTTTAATAAATATAGATTAAAAAAAAAAGTTAATTTTGACAATAAAGCAAAAAAATTCAAAAAATTCAAAAAAAAAAATTAGAAATTGATTATTTACCACCACATAAATTTTCTAATTCTTCCAAAGAAATTAATTTTTCAAATTTTAAATATATTATAAGTTCAGCTTGATATAATGAGGTTTGAATTGTTCGATTCCACAAATCATTATATCTTTAAAGAAAAAAATTTTATTTTTATATTTATAAATAGTAAAAATCCATATACAAATAACGAACCTATAGTATTGTTGATAAGGTACGAGTTGAGATAATTCAGCCAAATGTTGTTTTACTTCACTAAATTTTTCTAGTGCTTTTTGTATAATTCTTGGAACTACAATATCAAATTAATCAAAAAATTTATTAATACATAAAAATTCAAAATTAAAGATGATAATTTTAAAATTAACCTTCTTCAGGTAAAGCAGAGTGAACTCGATCCAAAATTGCCGTGATATATCGACAGGTTTTTTCATAATTACGAACGCAACGGAATATTTCCTATACAAGGTTAATAAAATGAAAAAAATTCATACCAATTTTCTACCGAAAATTTGGTAAATAACTTACATCTTTTCGCAATGATTCTTCTTCCATGTTAGTCTCAATTTGATTAAAAAAGGTTAAATCAATCGACATCTTTGCTTTAATTTTTTATCACGGCAAGGTAAATTTCAAATCAAGTTCGAATAATAATGTCAAAATAAATTCCGGGGCTGACTATTTTATAGCAAAATTTCTAAGCCACTAAAAAATATATGACGTAAATCGCGAAAATAAATTATCGTCTTGCACAAATTACTTTTTCCATAAAAAAATATTAAACATAAATTTGATTTTCTAATAATGTTTGATATTGCCCGCAAGGATGATTCTGTAAAACTAACTATCTAAGTCATTTGGCGAAAATAAATCAAAACTATGTACATGTATAATATCATGCAAAAATTTACTAAGAATTTAATGTAACATATAATGATAAATTGACTTTTGCTTCTTTATATAGAAAAATTTTAATTTTTAAAAAAATGAATTTCGGGAGAAATTTGAAAGATACTCTATTTTCGAGGATTTGATGTAAATCAAAACTATATGTATGTGGTACCATATAAAATTTTAACAAAGATTTTTTATCGCAACAAATTATTTTTAATTATTATCATAAAAAATTATAATAAACAACAAATTATATAATTTAAAAAAGATTTGAAGCTCATAGGAAGACTTTCACGTGATTGGGCGATCAAGTTACACGAATTTTATAATTGATAATATAAATATTTATACATG